AATCAGGTGATGCAGATTCGGCCAGCAGTCACGGAACAGCTGCTAGGTAACTCAAAACATCAAAGCATATATCGCAAACTGACCAGAACCTCAAAGCCTATCTCTAATGGCAGCACTCAGTACAAGAGGCCGAGAAGCCAGGTTGCAACCATACAGTACAGAATAATTAGCCCAAGACAATAACAACTAGTAATACCTGATTAGAGGATGCTGTTTTATGACTGGATGCATCACCGAATCGGCGTAACCAACAATCTGTACGTGATAATTTTTATCGGCCAATGATTTCGCGTGATAGCACATACGTGGACTTCGCCCGATATCACCAACCACCACCAGCGTCGCATTCTTCCTTCGAAGCACCATCAGCAACCGCACATTGGAAAGAATACCGCAGAATCCTTAAAAAGCAAATCCGAGAATGACCATATCTGGAGAAACCCTCCCCTACTGCCCCTTTTACACTTCATTCTTGCCTGACCCTTACTCTCCGGCGCACAGGTATCAGGTTCAGCCTAGTCTTTTCTCACTGCCCTGGTATAGAAACACCATATTAATAAGCTAAGGGAAATAATGCTTTATAGTTTAACAGCCAAAAACCTTGGAGAAAATGCCTAAGTTTCTAGTTGAAATGCTGAATTTTAGTGAAGTAGATGACCATTCCTATTGCAAACCAGACAATCTTCCCTCATATATATCATCGAAAAAAATTAAGCCAAAATAATCCCGATGAACTGTCACAATCACGAAACCCAATCCCGAGACTTGACCTTCAAATGGCAAAAACATTTATGCCAAAGTTATGTTTGAAAAGTTCAAATGCCGACTGAAACTGTTTTTAAAATTTCACTTCTCATGCGATGGACAAGCCAGGAAGTACTGTTACGAAGCTTCTAAGTAAAACTTCCAAGTTTTGCTACAACTACGGTAAACTCGCAGCACCTAATGGTCAAAAAGCACAGGGCGCCGGATTCCGCTACAATCCGCCATTTGTTTAACATGTCGTTGGCAGTCATCCGTTATAGATAACAGAGAAACAGAACGAATAGCTGAATATTACCTACGATGTATTCAAAGAACAGTGGAAGGGCTAGCGGAACACTGGGCCGACTCAGAAACTCGAATATTTGGAGCGACGAAAATGCGAAAATCACAAGATCTTAGTGGACGAAAAAAATTGAGATATAAGTTTCTTATAGAGTTAAACACAAATTCCCTCCGATGTCCACTTCATAATGCATTTTCAATTTCAGTTTGAACTCAAAAATATCAATGATAAATAGAAGTGCGGCGGACGGCACCCAATTTCCAAGGAAAAAATTCCCAAGAAATCTCTGTTTTATTTAAAAAACCAAATACGCTCACAACAATAATTCATATGAAAATACAAATGGCATTTAGAGTTAAACAGTCCACGATACTATACAGTTTCGTTTTATTTAGAAATTCTGAGAGAAAACAAAAAGAACAAGTACTTTCAATGAACAAAAGCAACAGCGTACGCAGATTTTGGACAAAAAAATTCGATGCGTGTTTTCCAGCCAAGCACAGAATTCAGCATCAGAAACCGTCTCGATGATTAAATAAGACAAAAAAATGAGAGCAACGAAGCTACCCTATAAATGAACAATCAAAAACAACATGATTTTCCAAACACAAAAGAGAAAAAAAGGAAAAACTGGATAAAGCAGCAGTAGCAGCGCTACAGATTACAAAACTCTTTGCGACAATCACCCGTATCCATCATCAAACTGTTTATACATTTAAGTAACACTAAGTAATTGAAAAAGCAGCAACAGTACGTGCGCACTTCTCACAACAACCTCACATTTTCTGGAATACTTAATACCTTACATTAACGGTTGAACGTAAAACAAAATTGTAAATACGCTAGCTTTCGTAACGCAGATTCAGTCATCAACTGCATTGAATTCGGCTGTAAGCGAGCTCAAATCCTGCAGTACTGTTTCGGTTGGAATCTCTGCAAATAAGCTATGTTAATAGATTTTTCAGCGTCAACAACTAATTTGAAGTATTGGATTTGACTGCAGTGAAGTTGGCTACTTTTAAAGGAAGCAGGAAAGGCGATTTGAGTTCTAGCAAACCAAGCATGATCGCACCGATTTATCATAAAAGGATTCGTGAACTGCAGCACTACGAAAATAAAAGGAAATGAAAGCTCAGTATTTTTTTTTTTAAACTTTTAGAATCAAATACGGCAGC